ACACAACTTCCACTAACCCCAGCTGGGTGACTAAACATAATGAAACACACCTTTCATCAGCCCCAGTTAGGTGATCAAACATAGTTAAACACACCTCCCACCAGTCAAGCTAGGTGATCAAACATAGTCAAACACACCTCCCACCAGTCAAGCTAGGTGATCAAACAGTCAAACACACCAACCCAGCTAGGTGATCAAACAGTCAAACACACCTTCCAGCAGCACCAGCTAGGTGATAAAACAGTCAAACACACCAGCCCAGCTAGGTGATCAAACAGTCAAACACACCTCCCACCAGTCCCAACTAGGTGATCAAACATAGGCAAACACACCTTCCACCAGACTCAACTATGTTATCAAACATTGTCAAACACACCTTCCCCCAGCCCCACCTAGGTGATCAAACAGTCAAACACACCTCCCACCAGACCCAGCTAGGTGATCATTCAATCAAACATACCTACCCCCCGACCCAGCTAGATGATCAAACCCTGTTGGAAGGCAGAGCACTACTTTATCAAGTCAACTCTTTCTCCCCATCAACAGTGTTTTTCTGGTTAAAAGGTTCACGGATTAGAATGAAAGGTGGTCTTTTGTGTACTCGTTTAACAAATTATCATTTCGTGTTATCTACCTAGTGAGCAGGCAGTGGAATCAGGCAAAATAGGCCATAGTAGTGTGTTCCCAGTCGTTTGATGTTACGGAATGTTTCCAGGCTTGTCTGTGTCCAGGGTGTGTGTCTCCTACCTTCCAGGGGATGTGTACATGCTGTGTGGGTAAACAGCAGGTGGAGCTGGAGTACATGAGGCTGCCAGGGGATGTGCAGCTAGGGGTAGTCTCCTCCACCAGAGGCCATATACCAATTGGTATATGGTCTCTGCCTCCCTTCACTCATTAGGGTAAAACATGTGCATCTGGTAACATTGTCGATCATTTTACCTGCTTCCCACAAATGTTTTATTGTAAAGAAAAATATATACATCCACCCACTTACCTATCTACCTACCTACTTACCTTACTCCTTACCTTACCTTACCTTAAACACACACCCCACACACACAATGTACAATGTGTGAAGCCCATTTCTGGTGTCCCCCGCCGTGATATTGCTGGAATATTGCTAAAAGCCGCGTAAAACCATACTCATTCACTCACCTACAATCCATTATACATGCTGTTTGTTTGTTTTTTAAACCTCCTTATGTATATTAAAACAGAAAGTTGAAGTGCTTAGAAAATGACAAGGGGATGCTTGGAATATTTTCAAGGTTTCAGTAGGAAGTGAAATGAAAAAAAGACGCTAGAACTTAAATCTGCTGACATTAAGGTAGCGGCCAACCAATGATGCAATGTTGAAGAAACTCACATGGTTTTCCTGATAGTTACAAGACAATATACACCCCCTGTACTTCGCTGTGTACATTTCTGTAAAAACAATCTTTGATAAACATTAGAAAATACCAACTCTCTTATAAATTTTAGAGCTAGCTAAGATAATGTTCATGATTACCAACAGGTTGTTATGTAGAACTTATAAGAAAGGTACGATACTTTACCTACCAACCTACCTAATATACCCCCATCCAACCACCTACCCACCAACCCACATACACACATACACACTAACAGATTGTTCTGTAGCAGCTGGTCATTATGTGCCTACTACAGTTTACTACAGCTAATACAGAGTGGTGAACATTTAATTAATTCATTTTGGAAAATCTGCATTTGTTTAAAATTTATATTCGTCATATCCATTCCAGTGACACTCAACTTAGGTGTTGAGCATTAGTCATGATTTCATCATAACATTTGAAAAGAAAACTATATCAAAGTAAACTTAAAAGAAGAATTTCACAAAATGGACCAAGTTTTGACAAATTTGTTGTCAGCTTTCGACTTCCTCCATGCTACATTCACAGTGACAGGGGGCTGCCAGCCCGGTCCGACAACTTGGCCAACTTTTGACAGACTGGTTTCTAGATTTCTTTAAGTTTGCTTGTTGATTAACACTGCACTCAACAGCATCCCCAGGGGCGTAGCTACCATTCTAAAAGAAAGCCGCGGCTTACACGTAATGTTTTGAGAAACTATCTAAATTTACAGATTTGCAACCTATTGGGCTTACACGAAAAAAAAATGGTTTACTATGTGCCTGATCCCAGTTATATGATTGCAGTCGGTATATTATCAGATCAGAACCAGACAAACCAGTGACTGATATTACGAGCACCTGTTATATGCAGTTGTTATATGATGACAGCAAACAACCAAGCCGGACCACCCTATCCCGTTAGTCACCTCTTATGATGTGCATGGATACTGAAGATCCGTTCTAACACTTATCTATAACAATTGAACATGGGCTCATTGTGTTCACAAACCAATTCCTAAAATCATCCCTTCTCCAACCTTCAAACTCAACAGAAGGCTCTTAGACAACAAATGACATTACATATATTTCTCAATCTATAATACAGTAACATGTCATATTGCTTCTGATGACTCAAGGGGCAGTGGGGTAGCCTAGTGGTTAAAGCATTTGCACATCACACCAAAGACCCGGGTTCGATTCCCCACATGGGTACAATGTGTGAGCCCATTTCTGGTGTCCCCTGCCGTGATATTGCTGGAATATTGCTAAAAGCGGCATAAACCTAAAACTCACTCACTCACTCACTCTGATGACTGACATTCATGCATGTGTAGCAGAAAATAAATCAAACCCCATTATTGGATTTGAACCCCAGACCTTCTGATCCAAGGCTGGACACCTTGTCCACTTAACCAAGAGATCCACCCAGTAAGCAAGTTGACATGGGAAGGATGTCATTTATGGAATGACTTCACCCCCTCCTATATATGCAATTATCAGAGTGTTACTGTTATTACTTTTGACCTTTCAACCTTAACAGGTAATATTCATCAATATTTCACAGCCACTGGTTTGTAACTTTAAATAAAACATTCTATACAAGGTCTACTGCTTTCACTGGACCAATTACAAGGGGAGGTAACTCAATGGTTCATTCATCTTTGGAAACCTGATTCATCTATTGCCACCTCCCCACCACCTAATTGCCCAAAGACAGTTGTTAAGGTATTAATTTTAAAACCTGACTCCCAAAAGGAAAACCTTAGGTGACCTTGAACTATTGTGTCGATCCTCCATTTTGACCTGTGTGTCAGGCCATCAATGGAAATCATCCATCGTTGTGCAGGAAAGAATCTACTTAAATCGATATATAAAGGAATAGCTCCATTTATCCCCGACCCTGAGGGTGCACATTATAAACCAGGACCTCTTTTGGAAAGCCGTAATGTATTCTGTCATGAATGTTATGTTATAGTTACCAGGGTGAACTTGCTCAGATATCAATCTAGGTGTGTGAGTGAGGGACGGAAGGTAGGAGGCAGGGGCAAATTTATTGAGTGTGTTATTGAGGGATGAAGGGGGACTTGAGGGAAAGGAGGGAGGGTGTGAGTGACTACCTAACACAGCATCAGATATATAATTATTATAACACTCACTCACTCACTCTTACAAGTAAACTGTTATTTTCAAAATTATTTTCAAAAAAAATTCTGGTCCTATTAGTTAGCTAATTTAATTGTTTAATTAGTGCTTGACACAGTGACAACACTAGGCATTTTTTACAGAAACTGATTGCAACTTTTGGGACAGCACAAAGAAATTTGTATACTAAGAAACTCAATGGGCCTTAATTTACTTCATTTGGCAATAATAAGGTCAAGTCTTGCCTCTTCTTGTGTTATATACCTAAGCTAAGCACTGGCCCAGAGACTGTTTACTCTAGCCCTGATAATGCATTCAATAAAATATCATAAAGCTACCACAATAAACTGTTACAATGAACGCCAGTTACAATTCAACTCACAAAACATATATCCATGTTGGGGGCCACAGTGTTATCTTTGTAAACCCTGAATATGTGTTTGAGTGCACTCACAGTTGATATAGTTGCAAGTGATTGTTCATCACCCTAAGTAGGGCCCGTATTTCCTTATTATGAGCCCTTATCAAGCATAATAATAGTGTCCCACAATGTTGTTCTGACAAAGCTGGTACAAAGGGAGTATCATGTACTTCTGTTCTCGCCTCCTCCGGGACGATTCTCTTTAAAATCACATAAATCAAAGATTAAACTCTAAGATGTCTCCATCTGAGACAGCCTATTGTCTCCATATATCAATTTACAACCTTTTCTTCATTGGGTTTACTTGTGAAAATTATTGGTTGAAATGCATCATATTTCAAAGGGCTTCAAGAGATTCACTCATTCACTCTATTACGCTAATGGTTTTATTTATGGCTATACCTGTTCTCACATCAAAAGCTGGATATTGCAGAAAGATTGTAGGGTTTGAAGGGGTAGTGTTACCCTTTATAAAAATTAGGGCAAGAATTAAAATTGAATTTTTGACTTTTTTATGAAAACTATTTTGTTACCCAGTAGAAGGTTGTTATCCATGAAAGCAGAGACTATACCGATATCGGTACATGGTCTCTGATGAAGGAGTGTCATGGATTGCCTATCACAGTCTCCAGGATTAATTAAGATTATATAGCTTTTTGAATTGGTTAATTGTTTAAAACCAAAATCCATGCCTACAGAAATTCATATTCAGAATATATGGTTTATGTAAAGAAAAAAATATATATATATAAAAATGCTTTAGAACCTTTTATGTCATTTTAATATTATGCCAGTGAAGAGAAAACTGATAAGAAGAAAAAGATTTTTGATAAAACAGTGATATTCTTTGACAATCAAACATTGATAATACAGGTGGATGAACAGGTGTGTCTTTTATGGCTTTAAAAACACTGTTCCTTTCTGAATGTCGAGCCAAGCACTGAGGGAAAGATAAGTAGATGAATGCTATCTATTGTTAATCAATGACATATCTTACATCACATCTATCAAAGCATGTACATATACACCTGTCTCTTAATGAATTGTTAAGTGTAAACTCACCTGTCTTTCTCATGCACCTGTTCCATGTCTGAGACTTGGCGTTGCAGCTTGAGAAGCACTGAATATAATCCAGCCCTAGGGGTAGGGGGTGAGGCTAGGGGGGCTGGTTCCGTCTCCACCCCCTCCCCACGCCCCAGTCTCACCACTCCTAGCACCAACACAAACGGCCAGGTCCACATGTCCTTCATTTCCACAAAGAACACAAGTGTCAGAACAAAAAAATATTACATATGTGGAAACCAAATTGTTTAGCTGATCTGTATGAGTAAGAGAAGATGGAACCTTATGCATTTCTCCATAGCCTGTCGGAGAGCGTAATTGGCCACTTGAATGATGCCGGGATGGTCTCACAGCCGCCCATAGGGAGGCCCTCCTTCACTGTCAAGCAACCCACACTCCAGTTGTCCTACTAGCAGTGATTATAGGACGTTCTCTCTCACACTTTTATACCAATTGTTTTGTGAGGCCGGTTCACTTTCCCTGTGAGGTGAGATGAAGCCTCTCTGTAGCCTCTTCTGTATTTGTGTGAGTGTTTATACAAGCCATATGGTCTGGTCCTCTCACACATGGCACCGGTAAACTCAATGTCACATTCAGTCTTGCTGTTTTCTTCTAATCTCCCAGATTTGACATGTGCTTTATCCAAAGCCTTTGATGGCATGTTGAGTCATATCAAATATTACCTTGTTTCACTGGAGTATTATATGTGTGTATTATCGTGAAGGTTATATTGCCTCGCCTGCAATGATCACAATAGATTTGCCGTTATTAATTCTGCTCTTATCATTGTATCATGTTGTCTTTGTATTGAGGATAACATGTGCAGAGGTTCTGCCTGACACCCCTGTAACACAATGGACTGGCTCAATCTGTATATTCTTATAGGGCATTGAGTAAGGGCTATCTCATGTTGTTGGAAATCTGGGGTCATATATAGTGCTCACACAATGCCTTTCTTGTTATTCTTGATTCTGTTGCAAGTATCCTTGAGATGATATTGCAGGAGACTAAGTCCACCCTTCTACCCTTGACATGGTGCCTACACTGGTCTTATCCACCCACCACTCACCCAGCATCAAGTACCTCTTACAACTGCTATTTCCCTCACCCTCTCCACCCCTTTGTCCCACCCTGTCCCCACTGACTCTGTGCCCTACATTCAGACCTTTTCCCCAGTCCAACTGACACTACCCTCCAATACTCCAGGTCACACTACCCTTCACTACCCCACTTCACACTACCTCCACTATCCCCACATTACACTACCCTCCACTATCCCCATCTCACACTACCCTCCAATATCCCTATGTCATACTACCTTCCACTACCCCACCTAACATCATCCTTCACTACACTTCTCACACTATCCTAACACTACCCCACTTCCACACCACACACTTCCTACCTCCACTATCCCCACATTACACTACCCCTCCACTATACATTACCTCCACTATCCCTTACCTACACTCCAGTATCCCACCTCACACTACCCTCCAATATCCCTATCTCATACTACCTTCCACTGCCCCCACTAACATTATCCTTCACTACCCCACTTCACACTATCTATCCCCATACACTAACACTTTCCTTCACTAACCCACTTCACACTACCTCCACTATCCCCACATAACACTACCTTCACTACCCCCTTCACACTACCTCCACTTCCCCACATTACACTACCTTCCAACTTCACACTACCTCCTCTATCCCCACCTAACACTACCTTTACCCCACTTCACACTACCTCCTCTATCCCCACCTAACACTACCCTTCTACCACACTTCACACTTCTATCCCCACTAACACTACCCTTCACTACCCCACTTCCACTACCTCCAATAACACTACCCTACCTCACTATCCCCACCTAACACTACTTCACACCCCACTTCACACTATCCCCACCTAACACTACCCTTCACTACCCCACTTCACACTACCTCCTCTATCCCCACCTAACACTAACCTTCACTACCCACTTCACACTACCTCCTCTATCCCCACCTAACACTACCCTTCACTACCCCACTTCACACTACCTCTATCCCCACCTAACACTACCCTTCACTACCCCACTTCACACTACCTCCTCTATCTCCACCTAACACTACCCTTCACTACCCCACTTCACACTACCTCAACTATCCCTATGTAACACTACATCCCACTACCCCACCTTGCACTACCCTCAACTATCCCTACCTAACACTACCCTCCACTACCTGACATAACCCTCCTCCACTACCCCACATAACACTACCCTCCACTATCCCCACATAGTACTATCCTCCACTATCTCTACCTAACACTACCCTCCACTATCACCACCTTGCACTGGCCAACCTCACACTACCCATCAATCCCCGACCTTCCACTACCCCAGGCCACACTACTAATACCTCACTAACCCTCACCTGCTTTCACCATATCCCACCCCACTTTACCCCACCTCACCCACTTCACTGTAGGGGCGGTGGGGTAGCCTAGTGCTTAAAGCATTTGCTCATCACGCCTAAGACCCCGGTATGATTCCTTACATGTGTGAAGCCCATTTCTGGTGTCACCTGCCGTGATATTGTTGGAATATTGCTAAAAGCGATGTAAAACTAAACTCACTCACTCACTCTACTGTACCCAACTCATTCACCTAACTTTACCCCACTACCCCACCTCATCCACCTTGAAATACTTCTTCACACCTCACCTACCCCACTGTCGACACAGTGCCTTCAACTACCCAGACTCTCTCCAACACCCAACAATCATACTCCCCTGTTTAGCCCACCCATATACCCTCACCACCACCCAGCCAGCCCTCTCTCTACACCCCCCACAGAGTGTTTCCTCTACCTGCCTTTGTTACTGAAACAGATGACAGGAATTAGTGATGGGTTGACTCAATTATAATTGATTTAAAAAGTGTTGTCATGCCAACATTGTCATGCCTTAAAAACTTAACTGAATATTCTAGAACCCCGATTCTCTCTGAGCACCTATAATGCACTCATGTGCATCAGGACCCTCACAAATGAGGGTTTTACCAAACTATGCAATTCAGCTGTACACATTAAGATTTAACATTTACGTTTAAAGTTTGAGCCTAGTTGTCAAGATGTAGATATCAATTTAACCTTATCATATTAATTGTTTTTATTTCTACAACAACACAGCTTTGTTTGTCCACATTTCATGTCAATAAATTCTGACTTGAAATAAGGTCCATCAAGTTATTTCCTCGTGATGTGGTATTTTAGAAGTCTAAGCTATTCATGTTAACAATACCTTTGAGAAGAAATATTTCAGCTCTAGTTTATCATTGTTAAAAGGGAATTAATGATAAACATATATTTGAAACAGAGCAGGAGAGTTTTAGATATCCAATATCTGCATGGGTCTCGTGTGTTCTGTGTTGTGCACATGTTGGGCATGTTCCCCTCTGCCTTATGAATTTCCTTTTTGAAAAGAATATTAAACTCAATATCCTACACATGTTAGAGAAAACAGACTTTGAAAGCCAAGCTGAAATTCACTTTGTTATTTCCGCGGGTTCATACACACGAATGGTCTCTTCGATTTCATTGTATATTTTTGTCAATTTCACACTATTTACTAAACTAAAACTTCCAATCTGCTGCGTATTACAGATCAAATTCAACATATCTGGCAAAACAGAATATTTTTATCTGATTAGTTTTAAAGTTTTAGGTAATGCATTAGCTTTAGTTAAAGTTTTTGTATGCAATATGCTTGATTTAAATGAAAATGTCCATTTCATTGTTTGTTTCTCAAATTTAAGCAATGTGAAATTAATTTCCGTTTTTTGACACAAGATTTCGATAGATATCATAATTAACTTACTTAAAGTATGCTGTGGTATTCAGGCACTAGGTTTTATCTGTTCTGATAAACAGAATATTAAATATTGTTTTAATGCATCACAACATTTGTGGCCTGAATGTGATCTTTATATACAGGACTGCATTTGAAACCAAGGCCATAATACCGTTACAATGTATTTATTGTTGGGATCTTATACAAAATAGCTGCACCTGTGTTGTTGAAATATATTCATGTTGAAATCATTATTTTCTTTTAATACATAACAGTAAGATATACTACACAAAGGAAGTAAGGGTAACCTGTCTTGCCTTTAAGGAAGCCCTTAACTTTATTTTGAGTAGTATATCTTGCTACCATGTAAATACTAGTTTTAAGCAGTTTCTATGAGTCAAGCTTTGGCTGAAAAATCTGCATACTTTTCAAATTACTTATTACATCATCAATACTAGTTAATGTAACAAACTGTATTACAATTTTTGTGAGATTGTATACAAATACATGGATTGTATTTTAAATGAAAATTGCGTGGATTTAATTTTTCTTTAAAATGTAGTGTTCATCAGTAGTTGAATCATTTCTGCAAAGGTTGCCGTTGTTTGTTGTTGTTCGGTTGTTCACCTAACTATAGCGTGTGTCATATGGACAATCTACACGCCAAGGGCAATACAAGATTTATTCCACATGGTAATACTGCAATTACACTACAGATGAGATATGATCATTAGATATGGGCTGGAATAACAGCCGGCATTCTGGAAATTTCTCTGATAAACAGACAACATATAACTTACCCCAAGGCCCATAAAAATGGCTGAGTTTGGATGAAATTCTTTGATTGTTGAATTCCTCAGATACGATGGTGTTGCAGAATTGATTGTGGCCTATCTGAATTGTAAATGACTGAGATAGATCCACCGTGAGATCATTGTCTTAGCATCTATTGTCTTCTGTGCGTCTTGAAGTTGAACATTCTTAGTTCTAAGTAATAACACTCATCTCAGATGGTTCCAGAAAGGCAGGTAGTTTTAGGGAATGACTGATTTTCATATTTAGCCGCAAACTATTTTGATTTAGTACAGTGAGGGTGAGAGGGGCAAGGGCAGCTGGACTTGAGAGAGGACATCACTTGGGTACAGCAGAGGGGGTGTTTGTTTGGAAAAATAAAGAACATTTCTTGTTGTTGTTTTGGAAAGAAATTGGCCTAATATGTAATAAATCTTCTTTTGTGCTTATTCCAAAAGGGCAATTCAAATAAATAAATTTATTGTCTCTGTTTTATGAATGTTTTCGATGAAGGATTTTCATGACTGCCATGAGGAACCAGTAAAATTGATACTTTTTAACGGTTTCAACCCTGGTAGTCTGTCATACAGAGCCTGAAACAAATATATACAAGAGAGCCCATGCAAGTCTAGAATATGTGGCAAGTCTAGATTATGTGGCAAGTCTAGAATATGTGGCAAGTCTAGATAACCATAGCTTCTGAAAATGAAGAAATTCTCTTGTGTCCTTTTCATTATATTTCATGATTATAATTTAGGAACCATTTTGTCTGTAGAAATGTTCATTTCAAAGACTAGTTTATTTCTTTATAATATTTTGATTTGGTGAGATATGTTTCATCTTAGTGTGTACTGGTGTTTTCTCAATGAAAGACTGGGGATACATTCAAGCAGACAACACTCATATGACCTCTTTGAATTTGACAGGAAATTGAATCAATTTTTTATTAATTGGATGTGAAGTGTTTGAACAAAGCAACATTTTTCTTCACCAGAATTTGTCAACTGTGTATGTTTCTGTTTCAGACACTGCTACGGATATGGGACTGTTTTCTTCTGGAAGGGCCGAAAGTTTTATTTCGCTTCTCGCTGGCCATCCTGAAGATGCACAAGAAGGAGATCCTGCTAAAGTCCGACACCATCAGCGTCATGCGTCATCTCAAGGCCTGCGCCAAGATCACGTATGACACCGATGGCCTTATCAAGGTAGGAACAAATAACATTCTAAATTTATAGATCACTCTTGGTATATTTATTGTGACAGATGTTAGTTTTTAGTCTGTTTGCAGTGAAAACATACTAATGAATTTCACTTTAAACAAAAAGTAAATCAAATAAAGTGAAATTAAGATTGCAGAATCCTCATAATTTTACCTTGCCAATTGAACATTTAAATCTAAATTTTTATTCAAATTAGGATAAAAGTTGTTTAACAAACGATCATAGATTCAAAACGCTATTACTGGTTTGTATTACAAGGGGTAAGCAGCAGTAGATAGAACAGTGAAACAAATGCACTTTTGATGCATGCGTGAAGAGCGTTAATTTATAACAACCCTTGTCGTTTTGGGTGTTTCATTTGATGTGCATACCCCTTGTAATACAAACCAATAATAGCCTTATTAGATTTAAATGTTCAATTGGCAAGGTAAAATCATGAGGATTCATGAGTCTTAATTTCACTTTATTTGCTTTACCTTTTGGTTTAAACTGACATTCATCGGATGCGTTTTCACTTCAAACAGACTATAGTTTTGAGTAAGGAGTAATTTTGCAAGTAATTCTTTTATATTCTATTAGCTAAGCAATCAAATGTATTTTTGTTGTTGTCCCAGTAAACTGAAAAATAATTAAAAAATTGACCACATCCACTAAGAGACTGTTGATTTGAGACTGGAATTGTTGCATTACTGCACCGAACAATGTCACTGTTTCCTAAACCCATGAAGAACCGGGTTAGAAATGGTCTCCAGGAACCCAAGCTTGTCGTAAGAGGTGACTAATGGAATCGGGTGGTCAGACTTGCTGATTTGGTTGACACATGTCATCATATTCGAATCACGTAGATCAATGCTCATGCTCTTGATCACTGGATTGTCTGGTCCAGACTCGATTGTTTACAGGCCGCTGCCATAGCTGAAATCTTGATGAGTGTTATGTTAAACAAGGAAACAACAAAATAATGAAACACTGTCTTCTATTGTTGTCTACAGTGCTTAAATACAAAGTCAGGAAGATGTTAATTTTGACTGCAATCAAATACACTGATTTCAAGAAATAAGCCAATGTAGAAGATCTGATTGTGCTAGGCCATTATTATTATTATTATTATTATATACATTTGTATTATTATATGTTTTATTGCTCATCATATATATGTGATTCATTATATATCTTGTTTATGTAGTTTATAGAATATTGTCACTGTTTCTGTATGGAACGTTTGCACAATAAATATTTGATTTGATTTGATTTTGTTCTAGGATTATTTGTGAATTTATTCTTGTGTCAACCATCCTTCTGTATAGTAATGACTGACTTTCTTCAGGTTGCGTTTGAGGACATGAAGCCGTTCACAAGTCGGCAGAACATCATGACGAAGCAGACGTGCTACCTGAACGCTCTGAAGGAGAAGTACAAACGCAAGGAGATACAGAAGCTGGCCTTCGCTGAGCGCGAGCAGTTGGTATGTGTGTCTCCTGTGTCACTCATTTGAAAAGTGTGAGGAGTGAGTGAGAGTGGTTGAGAGAGTGAGTGAGGGTGGTTGAGTGAGTGAGTGAGTGAGGGTGGTTGAGGAGTGAGTTAGTGAGGGTGAGTGAGTGGATGGTTGAGTGAGTGAGTGAGTGAGTGCATGGATGAGTGGGTGAGGGAGGAGGGAATGCATGAGTCCTTGAGATGAATATTAAACCACTTGTATTCTAGTGATACCATAGCAGAAACAGACAAGCCAGATTTAATACTAGTATGTCATTTCAATTTTGGGATTCAAACCTTGTTCCAGACATCTCAAGTGTGTGCATTATCCACTCCTAGCAATGCCCCAAAATTCTTGGAAAACGCATTATAGCTACCACTGCATGTAATAACTGTATGGCATTCAGATTCCCAATTCAGAAATATTCCAAGTATCTAGTCATTGTACATACACATGTCTCTACTACTGAGCAGGGCCCCGGTTCACAATGCTCTCGTAAGCCTAAGATCTTGTAACTTTTCTTGTAGCATTAGTACCTCATATGTTACAGTATAGGAGGCAAGAATGCTACGAGAAAAGTTACGAAGATCTTAGGCTTACGAGAGCTTTGTGAAACGGGTCCCAGATCCAGATGTTACAGTTGTTTTCTGATATTTTCCAGTTTCTTTCCATTGAGTCTGAATCAGGAAACTATCTCAGTTTTGAGTGTTGTGCTGAAAGTGACAACGGTAAGTGGATTTAATAAATAATTTCCTTCATTAGTACCCCAATAAACCCCACATGTAGGAATTCAAATAACAGAGAATCTGACATTCTATTGATGTAGGCGATTGTTTGGGTCTATTTGTTCAAGGATTTATCAACAATTACCAGGAATCAGATCCCCTTCAAGTTAGCCATTACCACCTCTGATGGAGGCCAGATAGTGTCCATATGACAGCATTGACCACATGTAGTTTAGCCCATCTCCCTGACTTGGACAGCTGGTCCTATCTCAGCATCTTGCTGGCCATCATGTGGATCTCATGAACGTGGCAGCTTCAGAGATTGAAGACATTTGGCAAATCTCTTGACATCTCTGCATGGTGGTATGGACAGTACACAACTAATTACATGTATATTCATTGTAAAAACTTTGTGTGGAGTCCCTGGATTCAGCTCAATCCAACAGGAGAGAGGGAGGCAAGCTTGTTTGAGAGGCTCAGGATCAATTGATGGAGACCTGTCTTTACATTCACAGTTGATGTGGTGTATCTTTTTCAGCATTGATACCCAGACTGTAACTTGACTCAGGGATAGACCCTAATGTATTTTATCTTTTAAAAATAATACATTTATTAGATTTTAAATTTTCCATATTTTCAAATACAGTAGAGTAGAAGTATTGCTAACTAAGACATATAATAAGGCATTTTACAGTGTATGATTGTTACTAAAGAAAGTGTATCAATATTACTGATATCAGTATTAAAGTATGCATCAACCATAAAATGCTTAAAAAATAGTACAATACATTGCTTTCAACAGCAATTAATATACTCAGTAGTCAATATATATAGTCCTTGTTATCAATATGTAATGGGGAACTTGGTTCCTGACAACAAATGCATCACATTAAAAATACTGTGCAAGGTGACGAATAAATACATTCCATGCTGGTATATTGCTGAATGATGTCTTTGAAGCCGTAAACAGTGGAGTGCACTTAACTGTACAGTTAGAATCTGCATACCTCTTCATGGATCATAAAACTGCTATGCTATTAGAAAAGCAATTCTGATTCAGTTAATAAACATCTGGTTTCTTTCACTTGAAATAAAGTAAATAAATCATGGATATTTTGTTAAAATTATCGTAAAAAGATAACATATAAAACCTGTTCCGAAACTAATTATGAGAGTGTTTTTAAGTGACATTCCTCTAAATTGCAAGAGTTTGCACAATTTGCACATGAGTAATGTAAATATATTTCCACATACAAACACTTTACCTATTATAAAAGAAAATTGGATAATGTTACTTCCGCCTTTTTTGAGCATATATTGAGCATGATGATGTGATGACTTGACCTGAGTGAGTGAGTTTAGTTTTGCACTGCACTCAGCAATATTCCAGCTATATGTCAGCGGTCTGTAAATAATCGAGTCTGGACCAGACAATCCAGTGATCAACAGCATGAGCATCGATCTGCGCAATTGGGAATCAATGACATGTGTCAACCAAGCCAGCGAGCCTGACCACCCGATCCTGTTAGTCGCCTCTTACAACAAGCATGGGTTACTGAAGGTTCATTCTAACGCAGACCTTCACGGGTCGATTTTTGCATATACCCTTCCAACAAGAATGATAATAAAAGGATATCCATTGCCAGAAACTGGCTGGATTTGTTCAGTAACACAAGAAGAGCATCACCAAGCATGCTCAGATCCACTGTGTGAGTGGGGAGCAGCTGGTTAGATGATTGTCAGACAGGATGTTTCTTTAGGACACTTAGAAACACTGACCAATGTCCGAGATGAAAGGGTCGATTCTCTGTGGGCAGACGGCATGAGAATGTACCTGACATTGTCTTGAGAGACATGACATCTAAACAGTGGAACTCTCTGGAGATAGATAGCGCAAGATTTGAAGACGATCTAGCAGGAGTTACTGAGAGACTAAACATGCCTGTTTGTTGAGACTGGGCAGATGAAAGGGGGTGCCGGGGTCTAGTCTTCTCGGAACTGAAGGACTGTTTGATGGGTCTAGTCTTCTCGGAACTGAAGGACTGTTTGGTGTGTCTTCCTTTCCAACATCCACAAGTTTCCTCCACTGATATTTAATCCACAAAGGACCTTGGCGCCACTGTTGTTATATTTCTAGGTCAAGGTGAAAGAATTATGATTTTGATTGCTTAGTGGAACTAATACATAATGGCATTAAAGAAAGTGGTCAACTGTAATGTGGCATTAAAGAAAGTGGTCAACCATTATGTGGAATCCGCAGTGCCTGGCAATTAGGTTCCTCAATCTAAGAGTTTTGGTTTGAATCCCAGAAGGGACTCAACCTAACAAAGGTACATGTACTAGAATCTGTACTTTACTGAGAAAGTGTAATCCCAAATATAGCATATGTTACGGACCCCTGGGTTTGAAGACAAGCCCAGATAGTCCGATGCTACTACTTCCCATAACACAATATCTAGCTATTTAAATCCTTGACAGTTACATTCTGATCAAGCATCTAATTCCACAAACTGATCTTAGAGCTGTGACTGTCCTGGTAATAAAATCAATGTTAAATTACAAGCAGAGTACAACAGTCACTTTGCGGAACCCCGCTGGGATATCGCTGCAATATTGCTACAAGCGGTGTAAACCCCAACTCGCTACCTCACTTTGTGAAGCAAGCACCACTAACCCACATTTCCTAAACTCTATATGAATGAACATTGTTCAATAAGTTATTCATTAATAATAAAATTATTTTCCAAACCAGATTATTTTACTTTCATTGGAAACTGAATAATGCAATGTGTTTACATTGATTTTGGAACACACAAACATAAACAGGGAGGAAAATGTTTTCAAATGAATGTTGCTGTCATGCCTGCAGGCCGTACATCCGTCATGTGACCATTTTGTTGACGAGCAGTTCAATCAAATGACCTCACCTGGGTATAATGTGTGAAGACATTTCTGGTGTCCCCTGCTATGATTGTGCGGAATATTGTTTTAAGGATTGAATAAAACTATTGTCATTTGCTCACTCACTCACTCACTCACACTCTCACTCACTCACTCACCACCACCACCACCACCACTCACTCACTCACTCACTCACCACCACCACCACACCACTCCTCACTCACTCACTCACTCACTCACACCACTCACACCACCATCACTCACTCTATCACTCACTCACAACCACCACTCACTCACTTACTCTCTCACTCACTCACTCACCACCACTCACTCTATCACTCACTCACCCATTCACTCACTCTATCACTCACTCACCCATTCACTCACTCACTCTATCACTCACTCACCCATTCACTCACTCACTCTATCACTCACTCACCCATCACTCACTCTATCACTCACCACCACCACTCACTCGCTTACTCACTCACTCTATCACACACTCTATCACCACCACCACTCACTCACTCACTCAGTGTTTAGTCGCCTCCTCCTGATATCTTCACTAGGCACACATTCACAACAACAGCAGCGTGCACACAGGGCTCATCATCATCATCATCATCCATAGCATCAGTACAACTTCATCAATAGTTTATTTCGCCTCTGTTGTATTGGTTTCTGCTGTTGTTTTGTCTTTCATCATCCTATGATTGCCGTTAATAGCTGTGATAATGAACTAATAGCCACATTAACCAAATGACGGGGTGGCCGAAGTAATCCATTTTCCCAGACCTCACACTGGGATAATTACAGGCAATTAATACAGTGTTGCTGAATTTAGAAGGTGGCCATGCATGCCAGAATGGGGATCAACAACTTGAAGCACTGAATGACTTGTGTGACTGAAAGGTATAGGGTGTTACACATGCTGTTAAGGATCAACAAGTTTGGTGGGAACTAGCCTGTCTCACGGTCCCTCAACCACATTCTTGGACCTTCTGCCCAGTTTTAACTGAAAAAAGTCCTAAATTAAGTCACTTAGTTAAATGCTAAAGCTTTAAATTAAGTCACTTTGTGAAATGCGAAAGCTTTAAATTAAGTCACTTTGTGAAATGCTTAAGTCACTTTGTGAAATGCTAAAGCCTTAAATTAAGCAAGTCTATAGTTTCTGTAGCCTCTGCCAGTCCTTACCATAATGCTATAGCCCTAAATGAAGCAAGTCTAGATTTTCAATGGTTAGTCTCACAGTCCCTGAACCATATTATTTCATCTTCCAGCCATCCCTTACTGCAATGCTAATAGTGAGTGAGTGAGTGAGTTTAGTTTTACGCCGCTTTTAGCAATATTCCAGCAATATCACGGCGGGGGACACCAGAAATGGGCTTCACACATTGTACCCATGTGGGGAATCGAACCCGGGTCTTCGGTGTGACGAGCGAGCGCCGTAACCACTAGGCTGCCCCACCGCCCCTGCAATGCTAATAGAATACACCAAGCAAGTCTTGTTTTCTAGAACATGTCTGAATCTCCCATCTCACTTAAGCTTCATTTGAATTTAAAATGTAGATGTTTACTTGAATCAAGCTTCTATATTTTCGTCAGAGACCATATACATGGTCTCTGATTTTCATTGATTTGGGGATAGTCTAACTGGACCATGTTAATCATTGTTAATGTTGCATGTTACTGCCTCAGTTTGTACGTAATTACTTCAACTTCAGAAGGATCAAACAGGAATATAATTTTATCTACAAATCTTAGTTCCTGCTAAATAATGATGACAAATAACGCATCATATATGTCATTTATAATATATATCTTTTAATTATTTAATGACCTAAATATATAAAACTTACATCACTTGTTTTGCCAAAACCATACACCTTTTAGAATGACTCAAGTATTGTGTAGGTTTGAGATATTTTTTTATAAATTGATTCTTACAAATTCATGAATGAAAATATCCTGAATGATTATATTTATCCATTCTAAAAATACTCCCACTTTCTTGTTATTATTAAGCAATTCTAAGGAAGAGGTTTATCAATTAGCCCAGTGTAGGAAGTGACAGAAGGAGATTCTAGGCGTGTGATATAGGCGGAGTACGAGGTGTTAGCTCATTGCTGGGATATACCGGAGATAAGGTCAAAGGTCAGTCTAGTATAGTGATAGCAGTGGTGTCAACAAGGTCATTGACAGATGAACACCCTTCCTCCCCGCCTGGCACTGGTGGCCGCCTAGGTGGTGTTCTGGATAAACTAGAGCTGGAGGTCAGGGTTCGATCCCAAGCTGTGTCGTAATAGATGTTAGTTGTCAACCTTCAGGTGCTTTGTATTAATGAGATAAAACTATTGGCTTGCAGTCCGTACACTGTGTCTGAGTGGAGGATGCATGTTGAAAATGCACATGTACATGCACACCCAAATGCATATGCACACACGCATGCATGCACACACACATGCATACACAAACACAAACATGAATTGTTATTGTAATACAATAAATGGACCATCACATATATTTATGTTGAGTCTTTAAACCTAAACAAATAAATGTCTGGCCATATGGGACAAAACTATAGAAATTAATTGCAGTTTATTTCATGTTATTTAGCTTCCTAACCAAGAAATTTCAATAAACAGAAACTGAATCATAACTTGCCCACTAGCGGACTGCTGTTATCTGATAAAAGAATAGGAACTGTTGCATTATTGTGATGATATTTCTCCTTGTCTGCATCAAGTTTGTAGCATTACATAGCAGTTTTGCAGTTATTGAAATATGTTAAATTCCGTTGATAGACTTGTGGATTTAAGCAACTGTACATACCAGGTTTTTTTTTATGTTTAAACCTTTATAAAGCCAGACCAATTTTATTTCTTGTTTTACGGATTTTTGTCCTCAGAAAATCTAAAGCAGGAAGGAAAGAAATAAAAATAAAAATCACCAGTCAAAGTAATATTCCTTTTAAATACTAAAAGTATTTTACTTTTGGCAATTTATCTAAAAACATTTTCTTGAACATTTTTTGGCCAATAAAAATATTTAAAATCATATTTTTTGAGCAGGGAAATTTTTTTTTTAAATCTTGAAAAAATATGACTTGCGGATCCGTAAAGCAAGAAATAAAATTGGTCTGGCCTAAACATACAAAAATTATTACCGTGCATTAAATATTCTTTCAATAAGTAGTCACTCATACTGTTAATGTACCAACAGTACACATCTGTGTAAAACATAAGAACTGATATTTGTATCTCCTTTGTATTTAAACATAACTCGACAATTTCTGTTTATCGACTAAAGCAAGACAGTATGCATTACCAGCATCATTCATTGCACGTTACCGACATCCAGACTTTGAGTTACCGACATCCTCGTGCGATTTTAAAAATGCTTATTCTTCAACACATTGACATTAATAAGCAAATTCAGTACATTCAATGTATTTCCACCATCAAAGTTTATCAGTTTGCTAAATAATGTTGATTGTATACAGGTGGAAGACTGGTAATTCGAGGGGAATAATCGCCAAGCGATCTTACCTGCCGCGCCATGTTGGGATGCTGGTAGCCTGTGTTACCAGCATCACCTTAGGTACAGTGTCCATGGAGGGATATGTATTATAGATTGTTGCTCCATGTGCACAGATCAAGTTCGGTCTACTTTGTGTTTATGGTGTACAAATACACAGATTCACATTTTATATATGGTTTTAAGTTTTAACCTCCATAAATACAAGGAACTAGGTAGTATGTTGGTGGTAAGTGTATGGTTCCTTGTTACAGGAGAGATCTGGCTGTGTTACGGGGAACAGATGATGTCCAAGGTGTGTAAGGTGAACACCAGCCAGGGCGTCATGGTGGACATGGACATCGAGGTAAGTCTGTCTCACAGTCCTTGAAGCACATTATTTGGAAAATTGACCAGAGGCCCAGATAAGCTTTAAATCCGGGCAAAATAAGCATAGAACATTTTCAATTACGCATTAAAAAATAATTGTTGCATACCAATTACGCATTTAAAATGTTAGATACGCAAAAGTTTAAAACAAATGCACGGAATATATTTATAAAAATCGCTTGCGAAATGAAAAAGACATCGATTGCTATCAAGTTGTACTGTTAGTATAGGACAAGTGTTGTACTGTCAGTATAGGATGAGTGATTTTTTATGAAATCATTTCCATTATATTTAACTTGGTTTTGATTAGGTATGACATAAGGCAGAACATACCTGCTTAGTAAACTTACTCAATGACATAATACTTAGGTGAGTAAAATGACTGAAATACGCATATATTTGAAAGCAGTGGGTAACGGAAAATGAAATACCCACTCAACATTCATAATACCCACTCCAAAAAAATAGACGGTAGAGTACCCACATGAGCTAAATCTTATCTGGAGCTCTGAATTGACGACTAGTCTATCACACAGTCTCTGAACCATATCATATTCACTTCAACCCAGCCCTTTCTGCAATGCTAAAGCCTTAAATCTAGATTTCGTCAGGTTCTGATTCTCCTTCTCACTGTGTCTCCTTTTAAATTTAAGAAGAATTATAGGTTTCTATCAAAATGATGTATATATAGAGACTAAGTGTTTAATGGAGGACATGCAAAGTGTGTCGGATGTTTCCCAGATAATGATGTTTTCCTCACCACTGTGTTTCAGTTTGACACGCGTGTGATGTGCATGTTGGCTCTCCCTGACAACATGGTGCTGTATGGTACGCTGTCCTGGATGGTGTTCGCCTACAACATGGCCAAACGGTAAATATGAAATCTCTAAATACAGGGGAGGATACAAGAAACAGAGGGGTAAAGGGGCAAAACATGTGACAGCAGAAATATTTACATACATGTTGAACAGGTGATTGTTCTACTTGACAATGATTGCAAGTATTCAAACACCACAGAAGTGTTTTGTTGTTTTACATTTGGGTCCACCTGTGAAGACCTTGGGTTTGAAATGATCTTCACCACCCTATACAAGGCATAACAGGTGAATTACAGGGTGGACATATCCCATGTGCGTAGATCGATGGTCATGACGTCAGTCACTGGATTGTCAGGTCCAGACTTGATTATTTATAGATGTCCATTTTGTAGCTGAAATATTGCTGAGTAGGCAATAAATCACGTGAGATTCTCTCTATGATAATCAAAGAAGTTAAGTTTTTACACAAATTATTCCAAGTAACTTTTATTATTTCTGGAGGTAGTGGTGTCGTTTATGTTATTGTGTGTGATGTCCACAGAGAGAAGATCTGGCAGGTGCGGCTTCACGATGCGGTATTGTCAATCTCCATGTACGTGGACGAGGATGACTGCTGTAGGGTGTTTGCTGGCCTTGCTGATGGAACTGTGGCCGTCCTCGAGGTTAGTATGCTGTCACTGTCAATACTTGTAAACATTTGGTACATATATTCTTTAGCTTACAGATCATATATATATTAATTTGTTTACATTTTTGGGGGAAACATTCTGGTTTGCTGAAATGAAATACAATATAAAATTATATTTGTCTTCTTCAAAATGCTCTCTCACATTGCTGAGTGTTTCACATTTTGGTATGATCAATATACTGTATGCTCAATTATTGTTTTACATCTTTGCATTTTGATGAATAAAATATTGACATTCATGAAAGAATTATTCAAATTTTGTTATATTGATATATTTTATATTGATTTTATACAAAACCTTCTAGCATTCTATTTACTGACAGTCTGGTGATACAATCTATGGTAATTTGAGAAAGTTGTCCAGTTCTATAAATATTAAAAACTGAGGACAGATAGCAGTGCTATTTCAAAGGCAGTGTTTAGGGAGTACAGATTTATGTCTTCTTTCAGCAATCAGAAAATATTCTCCACAATTCACATACAAATTTTAAATCATTTGTTAGCTTGCAAGACCAAAGGAGACCACAATCGGTCATGAGTTATCTCCCTTAATTCTCCCACTATCACTTTCCTGAAACTGCCTGCAATTTAAGATATTCATGAACGCCAATGACATGGAATGCTCTCCTCTCCATGATAATGTCTAATCATGTTATGTTACAACTATCTTTGTTTTTGGTTATAATGAATAAAACAATAATTAATTTCAGGCTGTGAATGAGATCATGCCAACCTATGACGTGATGTACATTCCCATTGGTCAGTCTCCAGTCATGTGCGTACAGCTGCTTGACAACCACCTCTGGTGTGCATGTGGAAATAAAGTGTTCATCATCCATGCAAGGTAGGTTATGGGTAAAAGTTAATATTAATGTTTAAGTAATTATGTATTTGTTTAATGCTACACTACAATATTCCAGCTACATGTCAGAGGTCTGTAAATAATTGAGTCATCAAGTCTGATCAGATGATCCATTTGGTCATATCATATTTTCTATCGACTAATTCTTACATGACTTCCCAGTTGAGCTCATGGGTCACATTCTACCCCAGGCCCCCACTTTAATAAAAACAGTTAGCATGCTTAAAAACTATGCATTAGGGCGTAACAATATTCTAGCAGAGAACACCAGAAAGAGGCTGAAAAGAAACTCTTACCCAGATCTTCATGAAAATATTTAACCCAAACTTGACTGCACAAGACAAAGATTGATTGTGAGATGAATATGTACAGTTCATTCACATTCTACAGGAGGCAGTGGGGTAGCCTAGTGGTTAAAGCATTTGCTGTCACACTGAAGGCCTGGGTTTGATTCCCTACATGGGTACAATGTGTGAAGCCCATTTCTGGTGTTCCCCTGCTGTGATATTGCTAGAATATTGCTAAAAGCCACATAAAACTAAACTCACTCACATTATAGAGTTAAGTTAATATTTCCATTATGTGTTCAGCACCCTCGATGCCATGGACAACTTCACAGTGTCGTCCAATCCATACGACCATATCCTGTCGCTGGCACCAGGCCGACCGGGAGTCTGGATCTCAATCCGGGGGTCATCCATCTTGGAATTATGGGACATCCAAACACTGAGCTGCAAGATGTTGTACGACACGCGAGCAGGGAAATACCCAAATCTGCGCAAGGTGGGTTCGCAGAAGTGGATCTGGCGAGTAAGAGACAATATACTATCATGCCTACTGTAGATGCCACTAGCGTCACATAGGCTCCGTAGACGTGCATGCACTGTGGTTTGTATGTGGAGAAACATCCTGCTTGATGAATCTGAACATTTGGGGAAATAATTAAATTACCATCTCGTTCTTGATACCAACATAATGACCTTATATTTTCTTTAATTGGTTTATGAGACCAACCAACAACGAAAATCTTATTAGAAAATAATGATAATGAGTTTTCACACCTGGAAATTGGGCTAACTTTGTTTTAGAATTAGGTAAAAGGAACAAAACACAGAAGATATTTTATCACTGCTCTTCATTAATGATGATGGTAAATGGTGAAGAAAACTTAATTGTAATAAATTGTGTTAGTGATGTTTTGGTAATATTTCACAAGTATACCAATGGTGTGGCCTTGAAGTTTGCTTGTACTCCTTAGTATCGATACTGCTAAGTTTAATTACTTGCTTGACCCCCTATGTTGAATTTTAGGCCAAAATGTTTGAAAGCCAGTTAACAACAAAAAAAGGCCTAATGAAAAAATATATTAACTATAGTTGTGATGTTATCATGATTAAGCATATTAAGCATTACTAAAATATGATTCATTAACCAAAACACAATGGGAAATAATAAGAATTCTAGTTGTATTGCAGTTGTTATGGTAACCAATGTAGTACATGCAATATATGTCAGTGTCTGAGCATTTTCATCTTTTTGTGTGTGGAGTAAAATTATGAAAAACAAAGAGCTGATACATAAAAAAGAGCTGATAAATTTTTTTTTATAGTCTTAAAAACATCAACTGTCCATTCCAAACAAAGTCTTTCTACTTTATTCACAATTTATATGATGGAAGAAAAAATCAGTTTTCAAAATTATCTACAGTACAATGCTACCATGGTCTCTATCTTACTAATGTTAGGTACTTGTAAATCTGTTCATGGAAATTTCTTCACTTTCTGTAATATTTATTTATTGTGTCTTGATAGCAACTGCTTGGTAGTTTTATAATCATCACTTGTCACAGTCTCTGTATGACTCCAGCTAGCTCACAATCACTCGTAACTACACGATTTTCATTTAATCTCTCTAACAGTTGAGCTCAACATCACTTTAGTCTGCTTGACTTTGGCATGCATCTTTAAGGTCAAGAATGGATAGAAACAACTGTCATGGTTCAGACATACAGGGACTGAAAATGAAAACTGTGTAAATAATTTGCCGTAGTTAAGGTCCCATTCCACAATGTGATCATAGTGCGATGAGGGCAGTGGAGTAGCCTAGTGGTTAAAGCATTCGCTCGTCACACCAAAGATCCAGGTTTGATTCCCAATATGGGTACAATGTGTGAAGCCCATTTCTGGTGCCCCCCGCCATGATATTACTGGAATATTGCTAAAAAGCGGCGTAAAACCATACTTGCTCACTACTCACTCCTAGTGCTAAGAGCGGCATAAGCTTTGAAAGTATGGGAACACTAAGATCACTTTATCAAATCGGTGTGATGCCATTGTGAATGAATTCCCGTGTTGTCAGTTGGATCTGTGTGATATTACAGCATGAACATATTGCATGAGTCCTCCCTGCTAAGTCAGATGAAATTCTGAATAGCTTTGAACTTGTCTTGCAGAAGGGAACCAATCATTGCACTAAGACTCATTCACCATGCCAATTTATTCATAGCTTTACAACTGTTGCCTAGCAACAGTTTAAATCTTGTCACCCCACCTTGTCACCCCAACATGTCTCCTCTCTGCACTGTTTCTGTGTAACAATATATTGCAAAAATCTAAAGTTATACCCCGAAAATATTTTTGTATCTACAATTTCTAGGGATGACACTATACAATGTAATGTTAACGTTTATTTTTATAATGTACAAAATGAAAGATGGTAACTGATGATATTTTCATGACAATGAAGCTTCAATAATTTATTTAAAAATCATGAAGCAATTAATTCCTGTATTTTCTGAGACATGTTTCGGGTACAGCATACATACTTTAGTTGAGCTACCATGCTTCCATCCCTATGTAACCCACTGAATAGGCATCTGCCCAACTTGACTCAAAACAATCTGATCTGAAAAATACATCTCTCATTTCAGGAGGATGACAGCTACTTTAACAGAGCCAGGATCACAGCTATTCTCCCCAATGACAATACGGTCTGGATCGGCACCGGCGAGGGCAACCTCATCATCTATGAAGTCGTGGAACACATGCCTAGTCTGACTCCATCTGAAGCATCATTTTCTGAGAACATCCCGGAAAACATGTACCTGAGTCGCTCCATGGAGGAGGTGGATCCATATGATCCCATCCGGGCAGTTGAGGAAAGGGTCCGTGAGCTCTACTTCAAAAACATCAACAGTCCTGACATCATGCCAAAGCCATTTGAATCTCGGAGGTTGAACATTAATCTCGGCGACAGTTCCACTCCCACGGCTAGTACAGGAGCATTGTCTGACTGTGGTGCTGTGGACATCTCCTGCAACAAACTGCTGTCATCCTCACCTGCCAACTATTCCAGATCTCCACCTGGTCAGTGTCTGGACATGACATCCCCAAGTTATTGGTTCGACAGCTATGGCAAAAGTTTTGGTAATAATCAACTACAGTACCAGGACCAGAATCCAAGTCTGTTTGCCAACATTGAAGAAACCAAAGAACCGGATGAAGCCTCAGACGGTTATACCAATGAGGCTGAAGGGAAGGGGCCAAGAAAGCTGTTTACAAGAGAAACTACCAAAATCTCGGAATCAGACTCTGTGTTGTCCAATGGTGATGTATGTAACAGTTCTGCACAACAGGACAGTGTATCAGAAACGCCAGTTTCGAGCCCCGTGTGCAACGGCACTTTCTCACATGAACTGACTACAGAGAACAGCGGTCGTGTCTCAGAGACAGATCATCAACATGCAGACCAATCTGTGACAACAGTGCCTGACTCAATTGACGACACACAGAGTGGTGACAACACCTTGGACTCAAACGAGCATGATGGCTCAGCCAAAATAAAACCCAGGTTCGCAGACACGAAGTCTTTAAGTGCTGATTCAGGGATCAGGATAGGTTCTGAGGTGGATGGTTCTCTCCAAACCACCTCTGTGAGGGAGAGAAATGGCTCTGTCAAATCATCAGATTGTAAAAGTGCTTCCAATAGTAATGCCAAACAGGTTAATGGACATATTAATGACAGTGACTTACCCCAGAGCTGTGAGCTTGGGGATCTTGCTCAGGGGAACACACAGATGCCAGTTCTTCTCCAACCAAGTGTACAGACACGGAAACAGATTATGCCAGTGCAAAGGAAGCTGGATCAGACAGTGTAAGTGCCGAGTCTCCCAACTGCAATGAATCCTTTAAAAGACTCCGCAGAGAATCTGGTCAGATGAAACACTTGAAAACAAAACAGAATGGCATTGGTAAAGAATATGCAGAGTCAGATGATGATGTGTTTGTTGAAGCTGAGGACAAGCAGGTGAAGAAAGCATCCAGTTTGGGCAACATTCTGGACATGGTAAAGACTGTGGTACGAAGGAGGTGGTTTCCAGTGTCCCAAAAGGTTTGCAAGGTCGAATGGACTCTGTGTCCAGTTCGACGGGCAACTTGAAACCAAAGAACCAGGAAACCCAGTGGAGGATAGACTTCACAGGCTACCATGTAGACACGGACTGTGAGAGCCAGCTGTCGACCCTTTCCATAGACTGTTCTGACCTTGACTCTGTTTCGCAGCCTTCCAAGAGCCACAGGCCATCCATTGACTCACAACCAGATCTGAAACAGTTTGCCAGTCAGTCCAACAACAACTTGTCCAACTTTAACCCAGATAACTTCATCTTTCCTGAGGATTACTCCCTGGAGCAGAAAATGGCCAAGTACCTCCAAACACCAACATTTGGAACGACCCACAGTTCGAAGGGTGGTCAAGTTTTGACAACTTATCGACTCCTTCACGTGACCAGGATACTTCCAGTCCTGATCAGAGGCGGGCGGTCTTCCTCCGAGGTGACTCCTTACACAGTGATGTTTCCAGGGGAACCAGCAGTGTCTCCCTGGCAACCATGGCAGAATCTCTCTATGCAGCTGACCTCTATGTTCAAGCTAAGGTCAAGATATCGGACAAGCCGGTTAAATGTCTAGTCCGCCTCAAGTAAGTACAATTATGTGAAAATGAAATTCTTTATATTACAGAGTTAATTTACAGACTTGAAAACAAATCGTAGCAATATTCCCCCCCATCACTGTTTTCAAGTTTTGCTCGCCTTGATTCTATTTGTGCTGATGTCATGGTCATATATTTCTCTGTGATAGAATTAAACATCACAACAACGGCAGAACTAGATGTCAAGAACATATTTAACACCATCAAAATATAGGCATGTTTTCATCTAGGTCTTCTTTTATCTTGCATTATATATCTCTATTGTACAGGTTACATGATCAATGTCCATTTCTGGTGAGATATCAATCCATAACTACTGGTAAAACCATACTCACCCTCTTTATCTTGCATAATATATATTACAGATCAATCCAGCTGACATTAACATAACTGCTGGATTCCCTCTAGCAAGCTTATATTATACTGATTCATACCAATGTACTGCATCAGTGTCTTCAAGCAGTTACTCAGGCCACTAATTACACAAGAACAAGTCTGTTTAATACATTAATTACAGCTCAGACTGAAAATTGGAGCCAGATTGAAAGCATCACTTCAAGACCTTCATCTTGTCGCTACTGTCTAAGCTACCTACCTTGCTGCACCTTGTTTATTCTCAATATGTTTTCTTTCTGCAGGCGGAAAGATGACCTGATACTCAGTCTGTCGGGATCGTTTGGGGATGATGAGGCAGTGTTGAAGTGGAAGAGGGCACCAAATGAGGTGGGCATTCTACTCTCCAACACATCCATTATGTAGTTGAGACCAGATCCCTGTGTAATTAGCAGCTTGTCAAAACTGGTTTTTACTTTACTTTTTGTAAGACAAACAATTTTTTAACAGTAGTTTATGAATCAAACAGCTAAAAGATTTAGAAGATAAAGATGTGGATGTTTCTATTGAGCGGATGTCTATATTCAGCTGACCAAAACTCAGTAAAATAAAAATACAAATCTCATTTACTTTGAAATATTTATGAGCTCTAGCTTGTGACAGCAGACATTTAGTCTTTCAACCTTAGGAGTGAACACTTCACTTGTAACTTGTAGCATCACATTACAGTGAGTGAGTGAGTGAGAGTGAGTTTAGTTTAGTTTAGTTTACGTCGCACTCAACAATATTCCAGCTATATGGCGGCAGTCTGTAAATTATCGAGTCTGGACCAGACAATCCAGTGATCAACAACATGAGCATCTATCTGCACAACTGGGATACAATGACATGTGTCAACCAAGTCAGCGAGCTTGACCACCTGATCCCGTTAGTCGCCTTTTACAACAAGCATGGGTTACTGAAGATCAATTCGAACCCAGATCTAACATCACATTACACATAACAACCCATCCTACCATCTTGTATAGAGGTTCACATGGAACAATCAGTTTGCTACATTCATTAATTCCTGTCTGTTCTTCCAGCAGATGATCTGGACCAATGATCCAATCCTGGAGTTCTGTCGGGACACCAACACCCCAAAGCTTCCATCCTACATGAGGAACAGGATGTCAAGCACCTCTTCGATTACAAGTAACAAGAGCAATGGTTCCGTCAAGTACCTCAGTCTCTCCCAAGGCAGCGATTAACCTTGCACAGGTTCTGGAAGGGAACAGTTCCACCTCATTCTCTCAACGGGCAGAGAATAACATCAGGCAGCTTCAGGCAGAGGAACTTGGTACATCCCTGTCAAAGATGTCAGTTTCTTGCAGGACAGTAAATAATCAGTGAGCTCAAAGGTACATGGACTTTGCCAACAGAGCATGTATGTGAGCAACTGAAAGAGGTGTGGTTTTGAAACAGTGGCAGACTGTTCATGGTGAAATTTCACTGTAGATGTTGTTGGGAATGGCTGGATTTAAAACTTCATTCAGCAGAAGCCTAGTAGAGGAATCTTGTGAAAAGCAGTGATTGTGAGATGAGTTTCGAAATGATGTACTTATGGGTCAAACAACCCCTTACCTTTGAAAATGGTATTGGAACTATTGTACCAGTGAATCTGTTAGCTCAAGGGCAGGCCATTGGTTTATTTGTTAAGACACATGACCGGTGATTCTCTGGCGGTGTGGTGAAGGAAACTCCAGCGTAGGCCCTACTGTGTCACTTACAGGTATCAAGGTGATTTGCAAATTGAGACAAGGGCATCTGGCTCACAAGGACTTGGAAGAGCCATTTCTGTCACTGATGGATATGGAATCACAACACATTTACAAAGACTAGGAAGAACCATTTCTGTGATTATCGAGGGCATGGATGACAAGACATTTACAAAACTGTCACAAGTAGCAGCTCTGAGAACAATGGCTGTGACTATACATTTACTTCGGGATAGGGAACAGTGAATGCTTGTGTGTTTGTGTCAGTATGAACATTTGGAGAAGTGCAGTGTTGATTGAACAAATTCCTGTGTCATATTAGTAGGATGCATGCAAAAGAATGGCTCTGCTGGAGGCATTGGACTACACAGTGTTAACACAGGAAGGAGGGGAGGTTTCGGACCACTGCAAAAACCTTCATGGATGCCGAGGTGGATCTTGAACATTTGTGCGTTTAATTTCAAGGCATTAGTGATGTATTGTTGACACTCTGACCATTGGGTTCATCTTGCTGTATATCATCTTAATGAACATGAATCTCGAATATCTTGTGAACAAACTCTCATCAAGGGAGGCAATACTGTGAAGTCTTGTTTACCTTTTGACATTGCACAAACATTAAAATTTTAAAACTGAGCTCTCAACAAATCAATGATTTTTTAGAAGTGACTAATGCTAATACATGCGGGACGTGTAATATATTTTATGATTTAAATTTTCTAATCAATCTACCATCATATGAATGACAAGTTTCTGTAATATTTTTACAGGTTTATTTTGAATTCTCTCTCTATATTTCATAGAATATGCAGTCTAAACTTGGAACATATCCCTTCCGTGTAAATACAAGTCTCGCTAATCTGTGATAATGCTGTGATAATATATAATGTATATTGGAAGGAATCGTCAGAGAATAGATTTTCATGGAGCCAAAGTAATTTTGTTTCAATGTTGAGTATTCCTTCACAATGGCACAAGACGTAGGTTGTTGTGTATCACAGAAACAAACAGGTAGAACAAGTGATGATCAGATCAGATCACTTTCTTTGGGATCACATCATTCAACATGATAAGAAACGGTATTGGTGTTAGTGTTATACGTTATAAACCTGTACATAACATTCATAACCATTCAGTGTACAATCATAGGTGATCTCTTCCGGTCTTAAATCTGATATATTTTGTAATAAATATTGAAATAATACAGTAAACTTCTGTTTGCGGTTTCAAAATCAATAAATGTTTGAATTTCTAAAATAATGAATTAAAATAACATTCCTCAATAAAATTTTGCAGAGGATGCAAATCAAACAGATTAACGGAACAGGTCAAATATGAGTCAATGCTGTGATTGACAAGTGTGTTTATACAATGTACAAATCTATGTCAATGACCTACAAAATGTTTCAAATGATCATGAAAATATATTTTTTACAAATTGTGATCATTTGAAGAATGTATATATTGCAGCCATATTGTGTATTTAAATGAAGCTTTGATATACATTGCCAAGTTGTGATCATAATGGATGACAGGTTTGCCATGTTTACAGGACTGTACACCATAACATTGTCAATACTTTTACATTGTTACCATACTGTACATAATGTAAACCATGATAATATATTTTGCTTAGATCATGTGATAGTGTATAGTGATTCTAACCAATGGCTGCACTTGTTCTGGGATATACGGTATGGAGAGCCGATTATAGCTGCTTACTTAAACTGTGCCATCATCAATACTTGGCGGGTTTGTACACGCTACAGTAATTCATCACCTGTGATTACATATGACCAATTGGCTGCATAGCAGAAATATGTGTCTATTTTGAGGTCTTTTGGGCTGGTGGGTAGCCTAATGGTTGAAGCGTTTGCTCGTCACACCGAAGACCCGGGTTCGATTCCCCACATGGGTGCAATGTGTGAAGCCCATTACGGTGTCCCCCGCTGATATTGTTGGAATGTTACTAAAAGCGGTGTAAAACCATACTGACTCACTCACCCTTTGGTCAAGTATTCACCTTTTAGGGCAAGAATTAATGTATACAATTCCCGCGGAGTATTGATGGGGTGACTGTACATTTCACAAGCCTTAATATATATCAACAGGAATGTTTCTAGTTTTATATTGTCAATGTTTGAACTGTCTCTATGAATTCTACCAAATATCATGTTTGTGTTGGTTACGGATATGTTGCTATTGTTGTTGCTATGCAACCAATGTTCAAAATTAAGGATTGTCAAGGTGTCCCTGTTGTATACTACTCAAAAGAAATGGGATGACAGATTAACTATTGCAATATGTAAGAAATGGGTGTTCCTTACCTTTTTTGAGTAGTATATTTGTATCAAGGGTGACACTACATCTGTAACTTTTAGAATAAGTGTCAGTCTTTGACTTTCACTACAACGTTGAACACTGGTTATATACTACTCAACTTTAGATAAGGATATCTGTATCGGACATAATGTAACAAAAATCACAATTTATCATGAAGCTGAAAAATGCTGTTTTCCTGAAACACTATCACCATGTGTACAACAAGCAGTAAGTATCATCCAGTCCCAACATGGACAAAGAATATTCTTGTCAAAAGTTGAGTAGTATAATATAGAACCCAGCCATGGATGAGAATCTTCACATAAAAAGTATAATTGCAAATCTGTTATCTTTGATTAATCACCAATTCCTTCTACTGGAAGTAAGGCCAGACCCAGCTATTTTGGATGTTACAGACTTTCTGTATCGGTATTTCAATATGAAGGCTAAAGACAAGTACAGGTTTGGTCATGGAGCAATGAAAAAAAGAGAGTTCTGTTTAACTTTATGAATATTATATATACCGTTCAAACAAAGTTAAAGAACGCTGATTTTTTCAAATGCAAGTTTATGGCTCGACGAGGTTACAACAGACACCCTTCCAGATGAAGGTGTTCAAGATGTTTTGAGCAGTATACAGGCATACTTGTACTTAAATATTTTTAACTGTATAGAATATATAATTAAATATCTGAATAGTTGAATAGCTATTTTCAGTCAAATACAGTATTTGTAGTTTGAAAAAATCTACAATCTCATAGAATAATAAGAAAGGACACCTCTCCAGACAAATTAATACTATTCAAAAGAGGTTAAGGAGCAACTGATACTTCCAAGTGTCAAGGAATCAGGTGTTTCTTAACTTCTTTTGAGCAGTATTTAGTTGAAAAATCATGCAGCCTACTTAAAGTAAAGGCATGACTGTGTTCTGCACATTAAAATGTAATTTTTCTTTATGTGAAGATTTCCAAACATGGAGTTGTTTATCATTACCCTGTTGTTGTTATAATGTATGATGTTCATTTCATGATATCGAGGCCACATCATTGCTGCTTGTCTTTCATCGTTACAATATACATAAATATGTCAAACATCTTTGTTCCTTATCAGCATCATCGCGAGTCATCTAGTCACCTGTAATAAACATACACAAACATACTCCACCAGCTTCTGTCCACATTTCACGGATCAAGTGAGGGTGTGTGTTTTACTGTTAACCACACACTCCATCAATATTCCAGTCTGGACCAAACAATCCACTGATTGACTTGAGTATTGGAGTTTATGTTTGGTTGTTTAATGCCGCACTTGGCAATATTCCAGCTATATGGCGGCGGTCTGTAAATAATCTAGTCTGGACCAGACAATTCAGTGGTCAACAGCATGAGCATCGATCTTCGCAACTGGGAACCGATGACGTGTCAACCAAGTCATCGAGCCTGACCACCCGATCCAGTTAGTCGCCTCTTACGACAAGCATGGGTTACTGAAGATCAATTCTAACCCAGATCTTCACAGGAAGTGAGTGAGTGAGTTTAATTTTACGCTGCACTCAGCAATATTCCAGCTATATGGCGGCAGTCTGTAAATAATCTAGTCTGGACCAGACAATCCAGTGATCAACAGCATAAGCATCGATCTGCGCAATTGGGAACCGATGACATGTGTCAACCAAGTCAGTGAGCCTGACCACCCGATCCCGATGGGTGACCATGTTTGGCAGCTTGAGATTTGGTGCTGACAAACCAAACGATAAATTGGGCTTATATTGGATTTGAACCTATGATTATTGAATCCTGGATGACAAAGGGAAGCAAATGAAAGAATTTATGGGTGCATATAAAATATTACCTACCTAGCACAAAAAGCATGACCCTATCTCCATAGTCAAAATCAATATATGTCAAATCCAGTCATATGAGGATGTTGGGTAGGATTCGTTCACTAGCAATGAGTGAGTGAGTGAGTATTGTTTTACGCCGCTTGTAGAAATATTCCAGCAATATCACGGCGGGGGACACCAGAAATGGGATTCACACATTGTACCCATGTGGGGAATCGAACCTGGGTCTTCGGCGTGACGAACGGACACATTAACCACTAGGCTACCCCACCGCCCACTAGCAATGAACTTGAATCAGGGTAATGAAACAATTGCTCAAACAATAGAGGTCATCTACTGTCATCTTACTAATGACTCGAATATACACATGAGATAGACACAATCTTGACATGATCACATAAAGATAGGCTTGAACTGAGTTCCCAGCTGACCCTATCTTGAGGCGTTGACCTCATAGCTACCTGGTACAAGGAACAACAAAATGTATCTTTCTTGTGCTTAGACATAATGGATAGACAGTCGACTTGTTTGTTTCATAGTATTGGTAAACATCTGACTGACTGAGTTTGATTTTACGCCGCGTTTAGCAATATTCCAGCAACATCACGGCGGGGAACACCAGAAATGGGCTTCACACATTGTACCCATGCGGGTATTCGAAACCGGGTCTTCGGCGTGGCGAGCCAACGCTTTAACCACTAGGCTACCCCACCGCCCCGTAAACATCTGAGATCTGCCTCACTTTAAGCTTCTCTCCCATGTGAAAACTGTTAATAAGCAATGATAAATCCAGTACTCACACTCTGGCTACAAGCATGGTCATTAAACAAAGATTATGTTCCTTTTCCATAATCCTGACAGCAATATGGTGAGTGAGTGAGTGAGTGAGTTTGGTTTTACGCTGCTTCTAGCAATATTCCAGCAATATCACGGCGGGGGGCACCAGGCCTGCAATATGGAACATAAACAATGGGACCCATATAAACAGGGCTTCTATCAGACATGAGAACAGCAAAGCACAAAAAACACTGAAAATTTAACTGGGGGGTCTTGGGGGTATTTTATTGCAGATTTACATTCATCTCAAAAACGTTCAAAATGAAACCAAAATCCCGGATCCGTAGACAGTTCTCATGTCTGTTCTATACATCTGGCCAAGGGCTACTGGGTCTTACTGCTAGACAACTGCAGCTGAAAGATTTAGCAAGAACACCCTGACCTACCACTAATTCCAAGTACCCACTGAAACACAGTCAAAGTGAAAGAAGCTGAGTAAAATCATCAACACAGGTCCATCTGATCTTGGTATATATAATACATGACATCTATGTATTCCTAATAAATCATACTGGTGAGACTGGTTTACGTATTTCAACAATCCTCAAAACATGTAAAGAGGGAACAAATATTTTCAGAAGAGCATGTTCTTCTTATTCGGCCAAATGCAAACATGTTGTGAAGCCTTTTGAGGAAATATATTCAGATTTGTAATTTTCAGTCTTATTTCTATTCCTGAACTTTTCTTTACAAAACATAGTCAATAATACAATAAAAACAAAGTCATGCCGTTTTCAAGATACTAATGGGTAATTGTTTCTTCCCTACACACAACTTCTTGAATTTGGCAGGAAAATGTTTTTAAAATATTTTGTTATTGTGGCTTCAACAAAATGAACCGGACACATGTTTGTTTCCAACTGTTTAAAGAAACTGTTCAGTCATGGACAGCAATGGTGTAGGTATAAACATTGACCTAAGTACTGGTACCACAATCAGCAATGTACCACAACAATATGTGTATAATGATTAGTATTGTAACGATACTAAGCCTTGAGAGTGGTACAACAATTGACAAGATGCCAATTAGGTCTGGGACCATCCTCGATAATCTCCAGGGTATACGTTACAATCACTCTCCAATATACCCTGGATGCATCCGACTTGGCCCGATAATTATATTACCTCCCTTTGCTGACTTTTTATTCAATCAGGTGTCTACGCTGGGAAGTTAAGCAAATCAATCACAACTCACTTTCGCTTCTTAAATTATCTAACCGTTAAACTTGGCAACACAATTGATGCAGAGGTACTCTGAAAGAGGTAGGAGTTCTTGCATATATTTTTTGAAAGTTCCAGATCTGTCAATTTGTCTGTATGATTTCCCCAAAAATCTGAGTGGCGCTGCGAACAAACCTTCGCTACTGCGATTGCTATCTTTGTTGACACTGGCAAGCTCGGATGTAACGGCGGCTTAGATGATTGGCTATTGTGAGAATGCGGAACCAGCAAAGGGAGGTAATATAATTATCGAGCCGTGGATGCATCCAGGGTATAGTGGAGAGTGATCGTAACGTATACCCTGGAGATTATCGAGGATGGTCTGGAACGGGTAACCCGGATACCCAGGACGGGTGGGTAATGAGTTGGACCTTGGTACCTGTCTCAATACTCGGACCCGTTATGATCATGTGACTAATAGATTAAACAATGTAATATGTTATTCTTTCATGATTCAGAGGTTGTATCGTCTTTGAAGATGTAAACATTATTTACAGTCACCTGTTTTTAATATAATACATGTACATGAATAAGATATTGAAAAACTCAAAAAAATTCCTCCGAGCTGGAGAATATATTGCCATTTCTTACAAATTTGATGTCAGGAATTAACGTATCGGGTGTCTGGGTAGGGTAGGGTAATAGGGGTTTGGTTCCCAGGTAGAAAAGTTGGACCTGTCCCAGCCCTATTGCTAATATTGCCCTGACAGTGGTACAACAAACCTGCATTGTATCAATACTCACAGAGGTACAACAATCAGCATTATCCTACCTCATGTAAACACCTCGATCTCTGATTGGTCCACGTGACCCTGAACAAATTACCATATATGCCCAGTGCATGGCTGTACACCGGCCAGCGGGGCATAAATCTTTGCGAGGGAGAATAAATAATTTCTACCCTGACCCATGGAAAAAGCATGCATCCACTGCAGTCAGTGAACCGTGAACCAGTGGTTCAGATCGACTAGTTGGTACCATGTCCGGCTCGGTGGATAAAACCTGTATAAAACCCTGTAACTTATAATGTACCAATACTATCACAATAGTGGTACAATGATCAGCATGGTATCAGAAATATGATGATAGTGTTACACCATTGTTTGATGGTACTCAGCATATGGTTTCATTCATAATCTATTATCTAAGAATAATCTAAGATTATGAACAATGCATCAGTTGCAACAAGTTGGGAAAAAGATGTGTTTTTTTGTGTGTGCGTTTTCTCCAATATTCGATTCAGATGTCCAAGGAATTCAATAAAAGTGTGTGCGTATCGTTTTACACTGATTTTTAACAATATTCAAGCATATCACGGTGGGGGGACACAGGAAATGGTCGTCACACATTTTACCCATGTGCTTAATTGAACCCATGACTTTGGTGTGATGAGCGAACACTTTAACCACTAGGCCACCGCCCCTTCAAGAGATTTCCATCCAAAACAAACATTGGCTACATGCATACTTAAAGCTAAAATAAAAATTGTGAAACAAAAAAAAAAGAGATATTTTGAACTCAAATTTGATCAATTTTAGCAATATTTGCAGTACACTGGAAACAAATATTGCCCACTATGCGTGCAGAGAGCATTTAGTTAATTCCTTGAACATGTTAAACAATGAAAAAAGAAAAATAACCACATCTTATTATGGATAGATTTCATTTAATGATCCATACAGCAAGTACAATGCTACATTTCAATATCACATATTAGCATTTTCAATGAATGAATCTTTGATTCCTCGTTTAAACTCGCAGCTACATGATGGAGATCTGCAAGTGATTTAATGTGGATGAGTAAAGCCAGTGATTGATATCATGAGCATTGATCTATGCAGTTGGCATCAACCAAGTCAGTAAGTCTCAATATCTCATTCTCAATATCGTTATCTGTGTTTACCAGCATCTTCATGGGTTTAAAGTGTGTGTGCGAGAGTGAGTTTAGCATTGCGCCACACTCAGCAATATTCCAGCTATATGGCGGCGGTCTGTAAATATTCGAGTCTGGACCAGACAATCCAGTGATCAACAGCATGAGCACTGATCTAAAAAGTTGGGATACGATGACGTGTCAACCAAGCCAGTGAGTCTGACCACCTGATCCCGTTAGTAGCCTTTTACGATAAGCATGGGTTACTGAATATCAATTCTTATCCGGAACTTCAGTAACCCATACTTGTGTAAGAGGCGACTAACGTGATCGAGTGGTCAGACTCGCTGACTTGGATGACACATCATCGTAGCCTAATTCTGTAGATTGATGCTCATGCTGTGGATCACTGGATTGTCTGGTCCAGACTTGATTATGTACAGAATGCCGCCACATAGCTGAGTGTGGCATAAAACTAAACACACTCACACAGAATGTGCTTATTTCTTGACAGAGGGTGCAGCTATACGCTGATTGGTACATCATTCAGCTATATCACAACCATCTCTTTAGTCTCGAGGATAAAGAGACTCCCCTAGATATCATCAAGTCAGTGGCTTGATGCCTGGTTGTGTCATACCTAAAGACAAAGATATTTGTTACCCTGGATGCACTGGACAATAAGGGATAAAAGTCTGTATCCTGTCTGAATGGGGTATTATTATTATTATAGGATATTTATATAGCGTACATATCCACGCAACTAGTGCATGCTCAAGGCGCTGGTATTTTTTCCCTCGATCATTGGATGTCAATCTCAACAGCACTTCGTATTATCAATCTCAACTCCCTGGGGAGTATACAACTCTTGCAGCCACTAGGCGCACCGAGTTATTGTGGCTTTCTCATCCTAACGAGGTACCCATTCACAGCTGGGTGGACTGGGACACACAGTCACAGTACTTTGTCCAAGCTCACTGCACGTTGCTGTACCCGCAACTGGGTGTTTGCACGTATTCATGTGGCCACCATCTGGTCATATACCAACGGATTCGTGGGTTCTTTTAAGTGCACAGTATCTATGTTAAACTGCACGGAAGGTACTGTAGAGACAGACACTAACAATTCACTAATCTTGAACGCAACGCTAAACACATTTCATCTCACCAAAAGTTACATGACAGTGTGTCAGTTGAGGGAATAAGCTTAGGAAAAATTACAGTCCTAGTAAATCTCACTCAAGCTGATGTCTCAATGAAATACTATTGGGAATATTTGCAATTCAAATGTCATGCTATAGACAAACTTTATCAGTCGCGTGTTCGCGAGACAACTATCGTCTCTTGTACGCTAGACGGGTGCGCTCTGGGGTATTAAGTGAAGCACTTGACCCTAATTAATTCAATCACCATGGAACCACCTCGATCAGGGGACACCAGATATGGGCTTCACACATTGTACCCATGTGGGGAATCAAACCCCCGCCTTTGGCGTGATGAGCGAAAGCTTGAACCACTAGGGTACCCCACCGCCTCATATGGCGTGGGAAGATTATGGATAACAACTTTTTTATTTCGTGAGTGTGATGTTTGGATACAGATGCTTGTACCATTTTCAAGCAGGAATGTTATGGCTATATGTCTAACAGTTAATTTGATCATAGGTTACAGTAAATTACAAGGCCGCTGTGCCATTGTCACACATGGCACTAATTAATAGACTGAATACAATGTACACTCCTTGCTGAAGTGAGGTAAAAAGCATGTTATGTTGCACTTGTTATATGGTAGTGACATGAACATGTGTGTGTGTGGCTGCTTGTGAGTGAGTGAGTTTGGTTTTTACGCTGCTTTAAGCAATATTCCAGCAATATCATGGTAGGGGACACCAGAAATGGGCTTCACAGATTGTACCCATGTGGGGAATTGAACCCGGGTCTTCGGAATGATGAGTGAACACTTTAGCCATTAGGCTACCCCACAGCCCTGTGTGGCTGCTTGTACTGGTTCAGACCAATGATGGTTCTATTGTGTTAGCCAAGCTACCATACTGCCATTTAATTGGATACCCTTGTCAGACACATACTGACTCAAAGCCAGGATGACGAGGCTAGGGATACAACAATCAACCTTCCACCCTCTGGGTAGAAACTCTGGTAACACTTCCACCCTGTATCCCCTAAATTTTAACGATGAGGAAAAATGTCTTCGTGTGGCATTTTTAGAAGTTGGATATGCCTTTCAGTATGTTCAGATACAATTAAAGAAACGTGTTAAAACTCATCCTTATCAGATGAGGAATATATATTCAGGTGATATGATTTGACTAGGATGAAATTTAAGGAGGGATACGGGCGGAAGTCTTTCCGAAACTCTATCCACTATACCACTAAGGTGCTGACATCTAAAGGATCATAATCAGGATAAATCTAGGATCTTATAATTGCAAACAATTGATTGATTGATTCAGGCGACACTACTTTGTTCAGCTCTGTATTTACCAGTACCCACACAGTGAAACTAATCATTCAAACTGCAGTCCACTTTCAGAGACTGTAAAACATACTGACTGACCAGAGTTTTTCTGCTTTACTGTGAAAATTGCCTTTCCCCTAGTCACATCTTTCTCCATAATCAACCGTTCCCCAACAAACTTATTCCAAGTTTTCCCCAAATATTCAGCAAAGTTTGAGTTGTCTCCCTTATGTTTGGATTCCCCAAAAGGAGATGTATTATCTCCCTTGTCAAAGTCTCTTAATTTGGCTTTGAACACTGCTGCTTTTGTAGCCATGACAACAAGATTATACTTCTTGGCAATTGTTTGAAGTATCTCCACAATCCTATTCATATTGATTTCATGAGCTGATCCTCCATCACCATGGTTACATCTGTCTATCCAATAGAAAGCTGAGATGCTGTCGATCATGATACAGGCAATGTCGGAGTCAGCAGCAATATTTGTCTCCAAGCTGTGAAGAGTACACAGTAATTGATGACTGCTATTACATCGTACAAGATACAAACTCTTCAAGCACCTCGTAATAAATACTTCAATCTCATCACTGGTTGGTTTTGTTTTATCCACTTCTGTATCTACAATGTCTGTGATTTTCTTTTCAAGTAAGATCACTAATCGCAAGATCGAGAATTTGTAATCTGTGTCGATGAATATGACCTTGGCTCCCAGTCCACCAAGGTTGAATGTCAGCCATTCCGGAGGCAGAATACATTTAGCGAGGCAGTGAAGGAGAACTTCTGACTTCCCTGTACCTTCTGCCCCGAAGAGTTCCACCACCTCCCCTGGAGAGATTCCTTTGGGAAATATAGAGGGTTCCAGCTTCTCTAAACATGGTCGTGATCCGAGTCGAGCAAGCAGCTGAAAAATGGCAAAAGAGCATACTACTTTGAATATAATTGAGATGAGTTGATTCACTCACAACCTAACTCTTGAGTGTATTTCTGAGTCATCAGTGAGTGAGTGAGTGAGTGAGTGGTTTTGCAGCTCTAGCCCAGTGAGATATCATCCTGCAGTTTAGTGTTCAAAGTTAAATCAAAATACTAACATAAATAGAAATTGGCACTGAAGATCAATTTTTAAACCAGTAGTTAGTCTGAGCAAAATGCACAACAGGATCCTGTTCTACAAAGTAATTTCAGAACTTTAGTCTCAGCGTAGCACCCATACTATAACACAGGCTTAATCAGGTCAATGTAGTCATAGTGCTGCTAGCAATTGCATCAACAAGTATGATCATTAAAGAAAACAGGGTGGATGTATTATAATCCACATCAGCCACTCTTGACATCTAAATATTTTCAGATAACAGGTTTTGGGACATCATACATTTTTATGGCAGTGCTTACTCAGGCAGGGCTTGATTTAAGAGATGTGAACCTACTTGCACCAGCTGCAACCTGAGATAAAAACCTAGTTACACCAGCCAAATTCCAGTTGCTTTTTTTGCAATATGTAAAGAAAGAAATATGCTATTGAATTATTCAAAGTTAAGAAGAAAAATGAGCTGACATAGTTATATGCTGCTTATATAATGTTACATTTATTGTTGATACATTTCTCAAACATTAACTTGCACCTGGTGCAAGTAAGACTAATAACTAGGTTGCACCAGTGCAAGTAACAAAGCACTAAATCCAGCCCTGTCAATTTACTGTGGTGTTGCATTCCACATTCTTGAATGATGCCTTGCATTTAGGATATAAGTTAGTGAGATGTTTGATAGTCTCTTTTTGTTTCTTTAAGTGTCCAAACGACTATAACATGAGGAAAATCCACCACTTTATTTACATAACAATCACACTAAACAAATTAAATTCATTTAAAATTCAGTCATATAAAGTTACCCTGGGCAAACAACTCGCCTGCAGCACTTGCCAATGACACTGTCAGCCAAACTGTGATGATGTTTAAATACTTCTAAGCAAAGGTTCTGATTTGTATAATTTACGACGGCGGGGTCACCGGGTATGTTTTAGCACATTCTAAGTACACCTGTCTTACTCTCAGTGTAAACCTATCTGTCAGTCCATATTAAACAAATACAGTGCACATATTCAATAACTTCAAGGAACATGAATTCATTCTAATTACATCTAACGGCACCATTTTACCAGACATAAAATAGGCCAATGAGTATGTCGAGATTGCATATTTCGATAGGGTGAAAGTAAAAGGAAGACATGTAAAAGAACTCGGTCGTCACACTAATGAAAGCCTTGACATATATATACCTGAGCCCCACTTTCCGATTTTGACATACTTTTCAGTCTCGCCCACACGCCAAGTCACGAATGGCATGCACGTAACCATTGAGATGGGTGGCTGCACCTCCAAAACTGCACTCAAATGTCCCTCCTTTCCTGTGATACTACTTTCCTAACGACCTCTCGCATACCGAACTAGCAGATGCAATTCATGTGGAGGAGAATTATGAAAATGTATCAAATGCACGAGTTGATACATTTTATCATCTGTATGCACCTATTTCATTACCATGCGAAATAGAAAACGGTACAATCTGCAAAAAAAGGAGTATTACTGTGTATTTTAGTAAACAAAGTTATTTTCGTGAATAATAATCATTTGCTTCAAACTTGACTTTGTTAACGCATCAAACCATTGCATGTTTTTGTTTCTTCGTTATTGTGTACTGATTTCAGTGAGGAATACTTACCTACTAATGGGTGTGGGGTTTGCCTAAAAATACTGTACACTGATCGATCTGAAAAAGTCTTGTGTACTTTTGGTTCGGCTCTTATTTTCTATCAACATATTCTCGGCGTAAAACTAAACTCACTCACTCACCCATTGTGTGGGTCAGTTCTACCAGAGACCAGATCTATCATATGGTTTCTGATTCTACATAACATTCGAAATTTTATCATATTTATACGATTTATAGGGTATCGACTAAAAGCTTTAAAAAACTGGGTTATTAAAAAACGTTTTATTTGTTTGGGTTTAATTTTGTTTTACGCCGCAATCAGCAATATTTCAGCTATATGACGGTGATCTGTAAAATATCGAGTCTGGACCAGACAATCCAGTGATCTGCAGCATGAGCATAGGTCTACGCAACTGGAAGACGATGACATTATTCATGATGATTCTACACTTAAGACCTTTCTACATTTAAGGTCACAACATGTGTCAACCAAGTCAGCGAGCCTGCCCACCTGATCCCGTTTGTCGTCTCTTACAACAGGTATGGGTTGCTAAAGACCAATTCTAACCCGGATTTTCACGGGTGTGAAACGTCATGTGAATATTGAAGATTTCAGTTATCTTATCATGACACTGGAAAATGTTTGATGCCGAATGGTTAGCCTAAATATCCATCCCTAAAAAGGCTGCCGATTGTCACCCATTGCTCGATGGTATTAGGTATAAGGCGCCAAAGCGTTGGGGCCCAAATTAACACTGAGAAGTACAGAGAGGCGACCTCAAATTCTACGTCACTGTAGTTGTATCTCCTAAGTAAAAATATTTCAGTAAAAAGAATACATGAACATAACGACCATAAAGTGTTATTTTAAAGCGACTTTCGGTGTTTCCTTAATTCAGCTCGAAAACCCACGCGACATTTTTGACCAAACTATTTAAACCCCCCTTTACTGACACCCACGAGAGGTCACGGCTACTTGTGTCATGGTAGAATGGAGATAGGCATGCCGTGAATCTGCGCGTTCGAGCTTTCGACTGCAAATTCCATCTAGTGCGGATAAGTCTACAGGTAACTGAGTTTTACAGTAATATATTGTATCTCCTCACTCACTCACTGCTTGTAAGTCGACGAAAGCTGTCGTACAGCTGTATGCAACATTGACATTGTTAATCACTCACGAACTCTTAATACAGTGATCGATGCCCATGGTGTTGGTCACTGGCTTGTCTGGTCCAGACTCGTATATTTACAGAGCCATATAGCTGGAATATTGCCAAGCGCGGTGTTAAAGAATAAACTAAAAAAATTCAAGCAACTTGCTACAAAGTGACTTCCCATTCACTTGAAGCTGACATCGTTTGATGTTAAAGAAAGTGATCATTCTAATTTAGTTATTCTATTTGAAAAGCAGAGGCATATTCAATAACCACTTTATTATTGGCACAAACACGTGACTAATTATATAACATGACATACGCCAGCTGAAGCCGCAACGATATATATCCAACTGATATCATGTAGATAGACTATGAATTATATACTATGAATTATATATTTATTTAATTTTAGCTTGAACACGGCGTAAGAACCTACACCAAAACGTCGCTCTATGTAAGAAACAAGAACTTGTTATCCATAAAGTCGTATGCTTTATTATTGAATTATATACCGGTATTTAAATCTCAAATAAAGATAGCGACTACAAATTTGAATATTACTGTATGTCGTTTTACAAAGCGATCTTAGCCCAAAAGTAACCTAAATAACAAACCTTGCGATGGCTGTTGCGCACAACCCTGGTTTACAACAGACAGACTTTATATACGCCCTGATAATTTGAATTAGAGATATCGTGACACGCAAACGAGTAAACGTGAAACTTAAAAAATAGCAGTTTCAGTTTCTCATGTGTAATTTGTTCAACAGAAGTTGTTTCATTCCAACACAATAACGATAAATCTTTGGGGGAATAGTTTTTTACCTGCCTGTCAGAAGCGCATGCGTTTCAGACTGGGAAATGCAATTTTAGCTGGAGTAAACAGACAGTTTCCGGTCAACTTTGTCTTAGATTTACTAAAGTTGTTTGGTATTTGCACCCTCAAAGCTGCGTGCATTTACTAGCTTTCTGTTATTTGATTTTGTTGACACCAACAGAATGGTGACACAGATTGACTTTATTTTGTTTGCCGAGCAAGGCTGGATGTGTTGCTCCTGACTTGAGACTCCTAATCGACAATGGCAGGCAGAACGCAACAACCGCCCCGCCGGAGAAAACGAGTGCAAACTCCTGTTTTCAGTAGCATAGTTGGCTCATATGAAGACAAAGACAACGATTTCGTCTGGTAAGACTTTATCAGGTCTCAATTTGCATGCAGGGGCCTGCGTGGGAATTCTGTATAACTTTCTTCCCCCCTGGGTTACTTTCTACACCTGTCCAGGAAGAGCCCCATTGCAGAGAATTATGAAAATAATGGATTACTGTTATAAACGTTATTTGCAGAATTCATGAGAAGAATGCACTTTTGTTTTCAGTGCGTATTCTTTTTGTTGTGTTAATTTTTTTTGATGGTATAATGTGAATATGATACTTAATATGTCAATGTTAACATAGGCTAATGATAATGGTTTTGTCAACTGACAGTTGTCACTGTCAACAGGTGTATAATTAACTTGATTTTCAACAATAATGCATTTTACCAAACACCTTCAACTATTTGTTTATATGTAACAGCCATAAAATTTCTGAGGCCTTTGGGGGCAGTGGCTTAGCCTTGTGGTTAAAGCGTTTGCTGGTCACTACGAGGACCGGGGTTCAATTCCCCACATCGGTACAATGCGTGAAGCCTATTTCTGTGAATGTCTACCACTGTGATATTCCTGGATTATTGCTAAAAGTGGTGTAAAACTAAACTCACTCACCCTGAGGCCTATGATGGGATTCGAACCATGGACCGTCTAGACTGAGGTTGGACACCTTGTCTACTTGAGCAAATTCAATATAAACATGCTCAACTATACATTGGTTGCCAGTGTATCAGCCTTGAATATTTCTGTTTGTTTGATGGATCTTGAACCTTCTGATCAGGTCTGGTGGCTTGTCCACGTGATGAAAGAGATAACAAGGTATGGGTGTCATCTGTTGAAATACTTGAATGATTACCACACCCTGCTACACTAGTTCTTTTCTTTCAGTTTTGTGGTTTTGTATTATCAAACCATATAAATGTCAGCAGAGGTTACATTTACATGTTTTACATGTTTAGAGTTCAGTCCCTCAGAGGCCCAGATAAGCTGTGTATCCGGGTAAAATACGCATAGAATTATGCATTGAAAAATAATTGTTGCGTATCAATTACACATTTAAAATGTTAGACACGCAAAAAGTTTAAAACAAATGCGTATGGAATATATTTATAAAAATGGCTTGCGTAATGAAAAAGACATTGATTGCTATCAAGTTATACTGTTAGTATAGGACAAGTGTTGTACTGTCAGTATAGGATGACTGATTTTGTATGAAATCATTTCCATTATATTTAAGTTGGTTTTGATTAGGTATGACATAAGGCAGAACATACCTGCTTAGTAAACTTACTCAATGACGTAATAGTGAATAAAGTGACTGAAATACGCACATATTTGAAAGCAGTGGGTAACGGAAAATGAAATACCCACTCAACATTCATAATACCCACTCAAAAAAATACAGTGGGTACAGTACCCACATGAGCTAAATCTTATCTGGAGCTCTGGTCCCTCGTGTAAGATATACTTTGACTCAGTGAAATTTGTTGTAAGCTAAACAGTCAGGACACTGCCCTGTGATATAAACATAGCAACAGGTCATCAAGTGTAATGAGCCCCTTCAGTCCAGTGATCTTTCATTGCGGCATGCAATGTCATTGAATAAGCCATTGATTTTGAGTATTTTTATTATTTGTTTATTGACTGTGCATTTTATATCAAGAGCCATTTGATTAATGTTCTTTGTTTTTGGTTTCAACTTTATTTATGGGGCTAAAATGTTAATTAGTGAAACTAATATGCATGTTTTGTTTTTTTATTCAGTCATTTTCATTGATATGCACAGTTTAAAAGGTATTTATTTAGTGATACTATACACATTAAAACAGGGATGTGCCATTGTGGATATATTATACAATAAATCCACACATCGGTACAATGTGTTAAGCCCAATTGTGGTGTCCCTCACCATAAACATAATAAAACCCAGCTCACTCACTTGATGCTTACTGTGACAAACATCTTTCTGCTTTTGTCCCAGTTGTGCAGATCGATGCTTAAGCTGTTAATCACTGGATCGTCTGGTCCAGACTTAGTTATTTACAGACCGCTGCCATATAGCTGGAATATTGCTGAGTGCGGCGTAAAACTAAATTCACTCACTGTTTTTGTCATGAAACCATCAAACTAATTACGAAATACTTTGATATTCATGCATATTCATGAACACAATATCTTATCTCAGGAGGTGTGTCCACTTACCCCCACAATAAATGGAACTTGAGTTATGTCCCTTACTGGATGTGTATAGGAAATAATTCTAAGACATGCAGTTGGGTCTTTTTACACCTGGTATTTGGGTAACCAAAGGTTAAAAGTTATGTCAAATTGACCTGGTACTGCTTGACTGGTGTCCCCCGTTGTGATAATGCTGGAATATAGTAAAAGCGGTGTAAAACCCAACTCACTCACTCAGCATTGGATACATAAAATCTCGTTCCGGCACTATGGTCTAGATGAGTGCAAGCAGCCGTATACAGACTTACATGCATGTCTCTGTGTATGTGCATTACTCTTGAACGAGATTTCTAACCCTGTTCCACTTGACACCATACACAAGATGATGAGGATAAAATCTCCCTTTGCTTGCAACTGTTGTCTTTGTCTTCTGTACTTGGGACCACTGAAGCATGTTGACTATACATCGCTCAGTTCAACAGTGGGAAGTCTTCACTTTGGTTCTTTTCTCTTCAAAAACCATATGTTGTAGCAGTCAACTAAGTTGTTGATGATGTGATAACAGGCATCTGTTTCATAACCAACCAGGTGAGAGTAATGTTCAAGGTGCAAACATTTTGCTGTAATCATGGTATGGATCAGCAGGATCTAAGGGGGGGCTGCTGTTTACATCAATGAGTGTTTAGGAACCATGCAGTGCCCCCACCAGGCAAACTTGTTGAGATGAATGACTTGTTTTTTCAACACTGCAAAAAGATGATATTATCTGAAGTTCACTGAACTTCTAGTTGGTTGTAATGAGGTGTTGAAAAGAAGGTTTTTACGCCTAACGAGTGATGCAGGTAATTTAGTCCTGTGGTTTGGTCTGGTTGTTGTTTAAGTGTAACACTGCACACAGCAATATTCCAGCTATATGACCGTGGTCTGTAAGTAATGCAAGCATGGGTTGCTGAAAATCAATTCTTAATGCAGAGCTCCAGATAAGATTTAGCTCATGTGGGTACTGTACCCACTGTAATTTGTTGGAGTGGGTATTTTGAATGTTGAGTGGGTATTTCATTTTCCGTTACCCACTGCTTTCAAATATGTGTGTATTTCAGTCATTTTACTCACCTAGGTATTATGTCATTGAGTAAGTTTACTAAGCAGGTATGTTCTGCCTTATGTCATACCTAATCAAAACCAACTTAAATATAATGGGAATGATTTCATAAAAAAAGTCACTCATCCTATACTGACAGTACAACACTTGTCCTATACTAAGAGTACAACTTGATAGCAATCGATGTCTCTTTCATTACGCAAGCGATTTTTTATAAATATAGTTTGTACGCATTTGTTTTCAACTTTTTGCGTATCTAACATTTTAAATGCGTAATTGGTACGCAACAATTATTTTTCAATGTGTAATTTGAAATTTTCTATGCATATTTTACACGGATACGCAGCTTAATTGGGCCTCTGCTTACTGGGTATTGTTTGGAGTTTTAGAAGGGTCTATGATTGAATATGGTTTTGACAAACCAGTTGTGGAACAGGTCTGGTATGAAACTGTAGTAAATCAGAGAGTGATCAGCTGTCTTACTCTTAAGGGGTATTGGGGTAGCCTAGTGGTTAAGGCATTCTCTCCCTAAGACCCAGGTTCGATTCCCCACATGGGTCAGTATGTGAAGCCCATCTCTGATGTCCTGTGCATTGATATTGTTGTAATATTGCTAAAAGTGGTGTAAAACCATACTCACTGGCTGACTGACTCACTGACCTCACTCACTTACTCACTCACTCAACCCTGAGTATAAAAGTCTGATGTGTCAATCTTGACAATTTGTATGTCACAACCTGATACATATAATGACAACATGCATAATGGCATTATGTACATATGCTGAATTCATTGTTTGAAACACGACTATGGAAACTGAAAGTTGTAACTTTTAAAGTTTTGGATTATTTGAATGTTATAATGCATGTCTTGTCAGTTCAACAAAGAAGATCCGGGTTATAATTGGGCTTCCGCAACGCCTTTGTGTTGTTAGAACGGGATTGGTCTGGTCATGCTTTCTGACTTGGTTGACACACGTTATTGTATTCCCATGGTATCAGTCGATGCTCATGATGCTGATCACTGAATAGTCTGCTCCAAACTCAATTATTGTCAGACCGACACCATACGGCTGAAATATAGCCGACTGCAGCGTTAAACAACAAACTAACAAAAAATCAACATACATTCCAGACCGGACTTGACTTTAATGATTCAAACATACATTTATGTAGTATCTTTTAGTGATAATTGTATAGACCCATTTTGAATTTTTATGAGTATTGGACACAATATTTTGCATGTGGCAAGTCAGTGAACTTCTATATATCTGTGTTTGTCAGGGCTCTGTGATAAATTCATAAACATGTGACTAATTCTTCATGACTCACTGTAAAGTCATGTTGTGACTGACTACTGTGTAACAAGAGAAGCCTATCGGCTAGTAGTGAACTTCAATCTCATTAGCATCAGATGGTTTGCTCAGTTACAATACATCGGCGGCAGCATCTGACGCCTCCATCACAGATGCAACAGAAGGACACATCAGATATACATGAGTGAACATGGTTGATGGATATGTGTCAGTTGTCAGTTTTCTAAAAATTCCGCTTCATTTTTTTATTGCTCTGATTTGGAGAAAATTGGCATTGAACACAAACGTACCTTCAGAAGTACACAATTTTGGGTATAGGTGATTTAAAAATCCAAAGCGGGATCGGTAGCCTCAGTGATGAAAAAGCGGGAATATTTCTTAGTATACAAAATGTGTGTTTTTTCTTTTCTAAATTGTCCCCCCAAGAAACATAATTTGTCTTT